ATAGGAACATTCCGGGCTCCTTTCACCAGCGTGTGGACAGAGCCCCACAGGGAAATGTACACAGGAGACCTGGATTCTGTTCCTGTCTAGCTCTGAGGTTTATTCCCTAGGTGTCCCTAGGTGACTGTTGGGGGCAGTCCTCCCGGTGGAAGCTGACATGGGAGAGGATGGCTGCCTAGCTCTAACCTCCAGCTCGTAGAAGACATTTTCTCCCGACTTGTGGACATTCGTCAGGACATCGGAATTCTCACCCTTCTTCTGCTCCTAACTTGTTATGTGACCTGAGGTAGGTCACTTAGCCTCTCTGAGACTCAGTTTCCTCTCCTACAGGGGGAGGGTGATGGGCTGGACTCAACTCTAGAACCGTGAGACTCAAGTCTGCCTTTTAGGGTCACCTGTGGACATTTTTGGCAACCAGACTCCACTCCAGGCCAATCAGAGTGGTCCCTCGGTATCCGCAGGGCATTATTCCCAGGACCGCTCCCCCCCGCCCCCTGCGGATACAAAAACACGGGACGCTCCAATCCCTTATATTAAATGGCGTAATACAGTCGACCCTCCCTATCCACAAGTTCCGTATTCGCCAATATGCAGGGCTGGCCGACTGCACCTGATAATCTGGGGGAGCGGTCCCGGGGGTTCCCATGCACTTGGGAGGGAGGGAAATTCTGGAATGGATGGCTCCTCCCTCCGCCTCTCCCAGCGTTGACCTTGGTAAAGGCCCAAGCCCCACCCCCCGCCCCACCCATCTCCTCCACGCCCACCTTGTACTGTTTGCCACAGATACGTTTCCCGACTCAAGGATGGATGTGTTTAAGCCCAAAGCCCCTGAGAGTGGAAAATGTCAACTCACTTTCTCATCCTGCTTCCGTGGGTGTCTGGATGTGGGCTCTTGCGGGGACAGGCCCTGTGGGCCCAGGTTGCTGTGGGGCTGACTCAGGGACTGTGGGCCTCCAGGAGGAGGTGGGCAGGTCCTGAGGACATCTGAAGGCTTCACAAAAGACGGTGACAACAGACCTCTGTATTTGCGAGTTTTCAAAAGGGGGAATTCCTGCCTGTCATAAACTCTCCTTCTCTGATGCTGACGATTTCTTACTGTTGTTAGAGGTGATTATTTGCACAGAGGAATGAAAAATGGCCCCTCTGCTCTTTCTCTGCTGGCTGAGAAGCAGGACATCTGCCAGCTCCAGGGCCACCATCAGTGGGAATGGAAAACATCAACTTCCTTCTATTTCCCAATCTCTGGCCTTGTTTTTCTCCTTCTTTCCTTTCTTATCATTTCTTTGGCCTTTCATCTCCTTTCCCATTCCTCTCTTCATTCTTCACACCATAATGTTTACTTAGTTTTGAATGTTCTCTTAGTTTTGAATGTTCTCTTCTGGTAGAGAGTTGGCTTGGTCCAGGCTAAGTGGAAATAAACAGGATTAGATCTGTGCTGAGAGGGATGAAGATAAAGATCGATGCCAGATAATGTTGTGATGATGAAATTTGGGGGCAGGGGGCACCAGGAAGGGACAGACCCGTTCACAGGAGGCGTGTCATTCACGCTCATTAGCATGTGCAGAGTGAGGCAGAGATGTGATTCCAGCAGCCTCCAGTACAGCGCTTCTCAGAGTGTGGTACCCGGACTAGCAGTGTCAGCATCACCTGAGACCTTGTTAGAAATGCAAGTTCTCAGGTTCTATCCCAGACCCGATGAATCAGAAGTTCTGGGGGTAGAGCCTGGGAATCTGTTTTAACAAGCTCTAGGTGATTCTGATGCATCTTGAAATTTAAAAACCATTGCTTCTAATGCGTAGATATCTCGATTATTATCATTAAGTTGAACGATTGTTTGATGATTTGGAAATGGCCGTGGGGGACCCCAGATGTCTGAGGAAGGCTGAGTAGGAGGCAAGGGGGAGGATCAAGGAGGAGTGAGGGGTGGGGTATTCATAGCAGGGGAGACTGTTGTGTTCCATTAAGGACTTGCATTGGTTAAGGGGCAGCCTGATGGGTTAGGGGGAGGCTGATTTGGGGAGTCAGGAAACTGGGAGAATTTAATTCAAAGAAAAAAATCCTTGTTCCCGAGGGTGATTTTTGCACTATCCAAATAAAATAACTAAATAACTCTGCTCGGTTCCATAGCAAAGGCTAAGCGAAGAAACCACTTGGTTCTTAAATGATTTCTGACAAATCGAGAAGAGTGTTGCTTCCAAAAATTATGGACCTTTCAAATATACAAAAAACTTCTGAGAGCAATATAAAAATACATGAATAGTGATTTAATAGTGACAACATTTAACACACAGTAGATGAGAGCATTTTATTATATTGGCTTCAGATCTTTTTAAAGAAGATGCGGTTGGATGCCCCACCGTACACCCCCATTGTTTACTAGGTTTTACACATTAACATAAATGGAGGGATTCTGCAGTCCTCTTTCTTCTCTCCATGTTGTTGATTCTGTCTTTGTTGCTACCCGTGGGTGTGGCTCATTTTCATTGCCAGGTGGTAGGTATTTCATCATATGGACCCTTCTCATCCTCATGGGCATTTAAGTGAAGATGCTGTACAGTGTTTCCATGTATTTATGTGGGATAGTAAACACTGGACGTGGGAAATTATCTTTGAATATATTTAAAAAGAGGTTTTTTTGGTTTTTTTCTTCCAATTTAAGTATAAAGGTCTCCAGATACACAGCTGGGGCTACGTTATCAGTTTTCCAAGAAAAAGTTTCTTTGTCCGTAAACCCATTCTTTTCTTCCTACACTCATTCAGCCAACCGTTGTTGAGCAGGTACCCTGGGTCAGGCACTGTGCTGGGTGCTGGGAAACAGGGGGCCAAATCCTAGAGGTCCATAGAGACTGCAGAGTCGGGATGCCTGGAGCTTCTGCCTTTGTGGAGGCGGCAGAATATCTGTCCAGTTGCCTGGGCAACTCCAACCTGGAAAATGAATGAGCCCATCACATTCCATCCACGTGTTTCTAGTTCTCCTAGAACCCCAGCTGCTTCACGGAAACAGACCCCCACCCCCGCCCCAAGAGTCCCAAGTGTTAGAACTGATGGCAGCTCCCTGGATTTGGAGGACCCACCCTCCCCGGGGCGCTGGACTCTGCCTGCCAGCTGCTCCAAAGTGAACTATTGACTGTCCAGTCGGAGGCCCGTATTCAGTAAACAAAGATTCTTTCATGCATTACTTTTGAGAGTCCACTATTGCCAGACCCTCTAAGGGGCACCAGGGATGTATCAGTGGCTCAGACTGACTCGGCCCTACCCAGCGAAGACCCACAAGGGGAGAACCACACCACAGCGATGGGGGTGGGGAGGACAGAGACCATGGGAGCACTGAGGGGGCCCTAACATAGTCCTGGGGGGACAGGAGAAGCCCTGCAGCCTGGGACGGGAGGAAGGAAGGAGGAGATAGGCTGTGGTGTTAATCTGATGCAGCAGTGTGACTGGGCTAGGGGATGCCCAGATAGCAGGCGAAACATCTCTGGGGATGACTGTTAGGGTGTTTCCAGAAGAGACTAGCGTTTGAACCGGTAGACTGAGTAAAGCAGAGGTCCTCTCCAGCGTGGGTGGGCATCATCCCCCCACCCCAAGGCACCCGAAAAGAACGAAAAGGCAGAGGAAGGGTGAACTCACTCTCTCTCTGCTTGAGCTGAGACATCTGTCTTCTGCTGCCTGCAGACATCACTCATGGTTCTCTGCCTTTCAAACTCAGATCAGGACTTAACCATCAGCCCCGCCCCCCACTTCTCAGGCCTTTGGACTCGGGCCGAATTACACCGCCAGCTCTCTTGGTCCTTCAGCTGGTGGACAACTGGTCACGGGACTTTTCAACCTCTGTAACACGTGAGCCAATCCGTAGAATAAATCTCCTCTTGTATATGTCTCTGTATGTCCTATTGGTTCTGTTCCTCTGCTGACCCCTGACTAATCCACAGGCCAAGGTGGAGGAAATGAGACCCAGCTGGAGCACGGGCCAGAGCCTGGCCTCTGCAAGGATCTGAAAAGAATTCAGGGCAGGGGCCAAAGGACTAAGGGTGGCAGGGCAGTCCGGGAAGAGGCAGGCCTCCTCCCAAATTCTGTTCCTGATTTGCACCAGAAGTATCCCTGGAAAGGCAGACAAGCGAAAGCCGGGCACGAGTCAATTCTCAGCCTATCCCATGTGCCTGGAGCTCTCTCCTGGGTAGGGCGATGGAATACAGGGTGCTCCTGATAGGTCGCCTCTTGCACCTTTCAAAGCTTTCCAGCCGCTGATGGAGGTGGAGGAGCTGGGGAGGATGGGGGTGCGCCATCACCTCCCGGTGGAGAGATCCCGCGCTCAGCAAACGTGTGCACATGAGCCTTATCCCCCGTGTTTATTTATAAGATTGTTTCAGATGCTGGTCCATTTGGTGACCAGACACTGGGCCTGTCCTTCCGTGTAGCTGACAGTGGGCCGATTGGCAGATTCTGCGGTTCAGGCTCAGGGCTGCAGACGATGGAGGCTTTAATCCTATGAGCGGTTCGAAGCCAAGTCTGGAATTAGGGATGACTCTTTACCCAACTCACACTCTTACCCAACAAATCAGTGAGATGGCGTGATGTCTGGAGACCTGAAGCATGTCTGTCCGTCTCAGATTTGATGGAGCTGGTGGAGGCCACAGGTTCAGGTCGTAAACTTTGCACTTTACTTGAAGCCCTTTTCTGGTTCTGTTAGTGGCTCTAACGTCATACTTACACTTAACTTTAAAATGATTTTACATCTCCAGTTTCCTTGGAGTGTGCAGGTGAATAAGCCCAGATAGAGTGGTTTTCATGTCCAGTTATCATTTGGGGTGAAGCTTCCACGGTAACTGCACGCAGTCCTGCTGAAGAAAATAATCAAAGCTGACGGGAAGCAGCCTTTCTCCCCAAGGGGAGAAAGAGCCCTTGGTCTGCCTTGGGGCTTGGGGAAAGGCTGAGCTTCCTTCCCCAAAAGAAATCGTTCCCTGCTGACTGCAAGTTTCTGTCCTGTTTATTGTTCTGTTTAGAAGTCTGGGAAGACAGGAGGAAGTTGCAGAAGTACCTCCAAACCGTTGATTCTGGGGCCTGGTGAGGGGAATCTGCCAGCATTCACTGCAGACTCCACCCGGACCCACTGGAATGAAGATTTTCCCAAGGATGGGTTAAGAGCCACCTCCAGGGGTGGCTGTACTCGTCGGCGTTGATCTGACAGTCACCGACTTCTCTCTTTGCCAAGATTCCCTCCACCCACTTATGAGACCAAAATTCCCCCTTTACCACCTTCTCCTTCTTGTTGCCCCAGAATGGGGGAACTCACGGTGAGCACACGGGGACACAGGTCCAAAAATAGACTAGACAAATGGCAGCAGGAAGAGAACTGCAAAGGGGTTGATGATTGCATCAGTTATCAGCACGAGTGCAGCTCTGAACGTCCTGGTAAGGAAAGGGAAAAAGAAAGGAAAACAGGATGGTATGCGGCCCTTATTGTCTAATAAAGGAAAACACACCAGTTCTTCGGGGAACTTTTTTTTTCCCTGGCAACGAATTCTTGGAAGAATTTATGTGACAGAACGCTGCAGGGAAGCATCCTTGTGTTGGGAAGGAAGCCACCTAGTCTGAGGGGCTTTGGAAATTCCAGGCGTGTACATGGGACAGGGGCCAGGCCAGGCCGCCATCATGGTCCAGCAGGCTCCAGGGAGGGAGGTGCTGGCGGGGTGGGGGGGTGATCAGAGGATGTTCCCCCGGGATGGGGGAAGGAGCTGGGGTGATGCCCCCAGGTACTAGAGGCGGAGGCCGGGGCTGTGACAAAGACCAAGTACCTCTGTTATATCCTGGCTGGAGCAGGCGAATCACAAAGCTCAGAATAAGTGGTCATCGATTCACCAAAGCCAGAGAAGCAGCCCTGGGCATCTGGGAGAAAGAAAGGAGCCCGGGGAGCTCCTGAGGGATAAGGGCTGCAGCTCTCGGGACTCTTCAGGCTCTGGGTCCTAGGGTGGGTCAAGGCTGAGAAAGGGATGCTTGAAGGGAAGAAGAAAGAGGGAAGGAAGGGAAGGGAGGAGGGGAGGGAGAGGCAGAAAGAAGTGGGAAGCTGGACGGAGGGAGAGCAGGACAGAGGGCACAGGGGACATGGGTCCCGGCAGGAGACAAGGCCGAGGCTGTGACGAGGCCTTCCGCTGCTTCTGCCGTCTGGCTTCCGGTGACGATCCAGGGGCATCACGGAATAAAAACTTAGCAGCAAGGGCGGGCTGGCGGGTGTGGAATGTTGTCCAGTGGGGAGGCTTCACAAGCTGTCTTCTAGGGAGGGTCCAGGCTAAGAGGGGAGGCCAGGGTCTTCAGGGGAAGTATTGCATAAAGGGGTCTGGGAAGGGTTTTGCTGGGGACGTAGACCTGGGTTGGCGGGTGGGTCTTGTAGAAGCCGTGGGTGATTCTACCTCATGTTCCCCTCATGCCCTAAACAGCCCCCCACTCCCCGCTGCAACATGTGTTAAAGTCACATCCGTTTTGGGGGAGGAGGGAAGAGACATATCGGCAGAACGAAGGGTTAAATAAGTGACTGGGAGACAGAGGGTGTGAGGATTCGTCCATCTGAGGAGTCAGAGAGGAGGGGCTATGGCTCGGGCCTCGTCTGAAGGATGCGGTGAGGCCTCCACCAGGCTGGGAGGTCTAAGGACAGATGGAGACAGGAGGCGGCCCACCTGCTTCTCTGCGGTCCGACTTCTCCACCTGCTGGTGCGGCTCAAGCTCCCCCAGGCCACCCCCAGGAGGGGCGGGCTCTGGGGGTCTTGGTCCCCAGTGGGGCCCCCCTGCCTGGGCATTGGATGGGTGCACAGCCCAAAGTGAGCCCACCTTCTGCCTCAGCTCACATCTGCGGAGCTCCCTGCACCAGGTAGAGCTTAGGAAATCCACTCCAGCTGTCCCCACAGACCCTTCACGCTGCACGGACGGCACAACCCGGCCACCCAGGACTCGAGAGGACTCAGCATGGCTGAGGACCTCCCCACCACCCCAGCTCCCCCCCACAAGCCAGAAGAAGCAAAGATGCTTCAGGGAACAGAAAAGCATCTCAAGAGATGCTCAGGGACTTCCCTGGTGGTCCAGTGGTAAAGAATCCACCTTCTAATGCAGGGGACTCGGGTTCGATCCCTGGGGAGGGAACTAAGATCCAACATGCTGCGGGGCAGCTAAGCCCACGTGCCACAACTACTGAGCTCGCGCGCCTCAACTAGAGAGAGAAAACCCACCGCCACAACTAGAGAGAAGCCCGTGTGCCACAACGAAGAGCCCGTGTGCTGCAACGAAAGATCTCTCGCACCGCCACTAAGACCCGACACAGCCCAAAATAAATTAAATAAATAAATAAATAATAAAATAAATCTTAAAAAAAAAAAAAGAGAGAGAGATGCTCAATTTGACTCCTTTGAGATTTCTGGAAGAGGTTCTATCCCCAAACCAAACAACTCACCCACCAAACTGCAAATGTCAACGTCATTGTAGACAGGAAAAGAAGATACATAGATCACACTTTGCGTGAGCTGTGAAATCTCTCACCCCAGGGTCTTCCCTGTTCTCCTGTACGCACCCCTCCTTTCTGTACCGAATTTAGAGCAAACTGTAATTTGCAAGTAGATTTCAAATGTTTAAATATATGAACCACGGTTTGTTTAGCAGGAGTGAAAAATTAATTTTTCTTCATTTAAACATCTTGAAATTTTTATAGAAACTTACGTTTTCATCAGAAAAATAAAACGATCTAGTTCTACTAGAAATCACATTTTCTAGAAACTTCGAATTTTCCCCAGACAAAGCCCCCAGGGTCGAGGTTTGCTGTTGGTGTCAACAGCTGAGCAGTGTTCTCGAAGTGGCCATGACTCAGCTGATTCAAAATAAACCTGAGTGTGAATTCTCCTCTCCCAAGATTCGGATCTCATCCTCGGTACCCACCCCGTGGCCACCGCGTCACCTCCGTAACATCTGCTCAGGAATGTCGCAATTCTCCCTGACTCGCGGGGGAAGCACAGGCTGCAAGTGGCCAAGGAGCTCACACACGTGGGGTGGGCAGCACGTCACCTGCAGGGTGAGTCAGCAGCCAACAGGTGCGTCCCAGGAAGAGGGGCAGAAAAAACAAGCGAGTGGCTCGTCCCTGGGAAAACGCGATGGCATGTTTGTTTTATGATTTTGGTGGAATGCTGCTGGTCAGGAGTGAATTGTCATATTCTTCAACCAAGTTGGTCGAAATAGAAACAGCTGGTTCTTTGGGCAGGCAGAGGTCAAGGCTGTGTGCCCTTGTGCCCCGGACCAGCCCGTGTGCCGTCAGGGGGCAGGGGTCGGAGGCTCTCCTTCCCTCCGCGGGCTCGGGTCAGCTCCCACCCCTGCAGTTCCTCCTGCCACATTCACAGGGCCCCTTGTGACTGCAAAAAGGGAACTCTCAGCCAGGACACAAAGCGAGTGTTTTGAACTCACTGTCAGGGCTTCCTCTGACCCTGCCCTGCCGACAGTCCCGCCACCTGCTTTGGAAATAGGACACAGGGTCAAGTAGCAGGCTCCCTACTCTCCCAGGCCCATCACAATGCAGAGCTGAGAGCGGCAAGAGTTTGAGCTTCTGCATTTGGAAGGTCAGGGTGATCCCAGCTCCAGAGAGCTCTGACCGGGTGTCGTCATGGCCAAAGTTATGGTAGGGGGGGACGTTTGGCACAGCTTAGCTCTCGAATACACACACAGAGGAGGGTGTCAGCGCCATAGTCCATGTGATCCGTGGGACAGCCCAGTCCTCTAGAGGGTCCCCTTCTGAGAACGAGAGGGTCCTCAGCCTTTGGGAGTGCTGGGGGGCCAGGTGCAGCCACTCAGAGTATCTGTTATGTGTCAGACCCTCTCTGGGCCCAAAGCTGCTCCAGGTGGGGGGGGGGGTCGCTGTTCTGGAGGGAGAGCCCAGGAAGTGGGAGGCTGGTGCTCTCAGGAGCCCCTGGAAGAGGCTCCGGGGCTGAGGGTAAGGTGATCGTCATCAAGGTTGGGCTTCAGACAAGGCCCATCAGAAGGAAGCTTTTGCCCTGAGCTTTGAAAGTTGAATCCAAAGCTCCCCGATTTGAATTATTTTTCTTTTGTCCGTCTCTCAAATTCTGGCTTTCTCCGCCTGGTCCCTCTGCAGCCCAGGACCTTAGTCCAGCTCCCTAATACCTAAAGCCTCCTACCCAGGTCCTGCCCGGGCCTGCCCGCTCGTCTGCCTCTCACTCTGCGGTTGCATCTGTCGTGTCTCCTCGCTGGGAGAATCTGCCTTCTAAGAGCCCCCAGTGCTTAGTTATTATGGCCGTGACTTCTGACCGTTTCCCAAAAATGCACACAAATAAAAACATAAAACAAAGACACAATTTTAGGACGTTGAAGGCACCTTGAATCTAGGTTAGGTGCCACTGGATGCATTAACTTCTGACCCATATACATAACTCCCCACACCCACGCCAAGCTTTCTAGCAGCAAGTGTGAGATGAGCCCTCATTAGGATCTTTCTTGAGCCTGACCTACGTTTTTGAGAATCTAATGAAAACCATGGATTTTTTTTCCCCCATAAAAATGCATATATCCTAATACATCTAAAATTTAGCATTCATTTTCAGAAGTTTCACACTCCTCCTGCTGTTCATGAAAATTCAGCTCTGCTTTCTGATGGCATTCAATTAATTCTGAGTCTCAGCATCCCCCCCCCCGATGCCCCAGTTAGGATGGTTCCTCCACCATGGGGTCTCCCCTAAACCCCCAGCTGGAAATCCTCTCTGCTTCCTTGGGTTTCCCCGCTTGTTCTGTGGCTCTTCACCCTGTGACACCCCAGGGGTCAAGGCTATGTGTTCCCAGTACCTCTTGCCATGGCACCTGGATATATGGTCAACATATTCAACATATTCATTCAATTTTTGAATGGGTCTCAGGGGATGAGGGATTATGGTTTTCTTCTTCAATACACTGGACATTTTGCTCTGTCTCACCCAAATGTTAACGCAGGTTAAGCAGAGCACAGCTTGGTTGGATTTAAGTTTGCTTATTGGGTCAGAAATACAACAGAAACTAGGAGAAGGGCAACTGATAAAACTTGGTGTAAGGAGACACCAAAAAGTGTGAGAATTTTTAATCTATGGAGATGGTGACTCAGAGGGCATGTATGTATTGATAATATCAAGGGAATCATGAAAGCAATCGATAGCCCATACTGGGATTTGCTTACCAAAATTGAAAATACTGAAATTAAGGGGGCCTGAAAAAATGGAAAGAGACAGCATCTTCTCTTGGCTTTAACACTAATTTGTGTAGTGAGGAAGGGAAACCTATGGCTGTCATTATCCTGACAGGTTATGTAAGTCATAGCCATAAACAGGCTCAAGAAAGGTTTAGAGGTTGCTGAAAGAAATTAAAGAAGACCTAAATAAATGGAGAGACACCCTGCATTCATGAGTAGGAAGACTTAATACGGTCAAGATGTCAATACTACCCAAAGCAATGTACAGATTCAATGCAATCCTTATAAAGTTTCAGCAGCCTTTTTCATGAAGAAAAAGACATGAAGAAGCTTATTCTCAAATTCACATGGAATCTCAAGGGCCCCCAAATATCCAAAACAATCTTGAAAAAGAAAAACCAAGTCAGAGAATTTACACTTCCTGATTTCAAAACTTACAAAAAAGCTACAGTAATCCAAACAATGTGGTACTGGCGTAAGAATAGGCATACAGATCAATGCAATA